TGGTCGGACTGCACCCTGTCAAAGGCGGAAAACTTGCGAGACCTGGGAGCAGGGCCTCTGCTGAGTTCCGGCTCTCACAGGTGTTGCTGTCTGAAGGAGCAGGCTGGCCACAGGTGCACCCAGCCCAGACGGAGAACGACTGATGCCGTGGGAAGATGAGCAGGGAATCAGAGAGAGAAGCTGGAACGAGACGAGGGTCTCCCCCAGAGCACAGGCGGCCTTCCCTAGAGACGCCGCCCTGACTCGGACTTCTAGCCTCCTAAACCACGACCAAATTTATTTCTGTTCATGAAAGCCACCCCCTTGTGATATTTCTGTTTGAGCAGCACTTGGTAACTAGGCCACCCATTGAGGTGATCTGCGCACCCAGCCACGACCCAGAAGGCTCCAGGAGCTCTGGCCATCCACCTGGCAACTACCACCTTCCTCCCTGCGGACTCCTGGCATTGTTGAAGAGGTCACTTGATACTAATGAAACCACCCTTCCACCTTGACGCTCTGGCCAAATAAGCCAGTTCTGCCAATGAGACAGGAAGGGAGATGAGCCGGGGGCTTCCAGGAAAGGATGCCACGGCCTTAACAATGAAACCCACAAGGAGGAGAAGTTCATTCATTCTGCCTCTGGATGGTCAAGGAGGAAGCAAGCTATGCCAGGTGACATCAAGAGGCTAGCTCAGGAGCCCCACGGCCTCAGCTGGAACCCTGGCTCTGCCACTGGCCAGCTGTGTAACCTTAGGCAAATGACCTCTCTGTGCCGCAGGTTCCTTCATCCATAAATTGGGGTGATAGAATTACCTACCCCATGGAGTTTTTGTGGAGATGAAAGAGTTAATGTTCATAAGACAAACAGAACAGTGCTTGGTCCATTGTACTGCATTTTTCATAAATAATGTGCTCACAAGAATAATGTGCACACATATGAAGTACAGCACAATGCATAGCAGGTGGGTTGCATGGTGGGCAAAAAAACATGTAACATGTACATTATTTGTGTAAAAATACGGTACACAGTACATCAGGGTTTTGGTTTTTTTTTTAATTTTAGAACCATGATCAGTTTTATCTATTACCATTATCAGGACAGCTGTTGGTCCACAGAGGCTTAAAAGACAGGAAGAACGGGGTCTGTCATGACATCACTGACCCACTATAATGACCAAGTCTGGAGCCTCTGTGCCTCGGGACTTCCTGTTACGTGAAACCAGGCCTCTTCAGTGTTCAAGCCACTGTGTTCTCACTTCCTCTCTGCACAGAGACCATACCTTCCCAGCCTCCCTTGCGATTGAGTGTGGCTGGGCACTCAACACTGATGACACCTTCCCAGCCTCCCTTGCGACTGGGTGTGGCCAGGTACTGAGCGCCAACCAGGGAAGGTGACAGGAAGGGAAGTAGATGGTGCAAAACCCTCCTCTACCCACTTCCTGCTCGTCCCTGCTCTGCTGGCCAGACTCGGAAGATGAAAGGGCCCCAGGAGATGATGGAGCCA